GCATTGAGTGAGCAGGAAACGAATATCAGCGTTACCAGTTTATACGACCCGACCGCGTTGTAACATTGGCAGCCAGGCCGTATAAACTGGCATTGCTGACATTATTCGTTTCCTGCTCACCTGTAATTTTCACACACACATGTGCAAAGGCATATTAGAAAGTGTTCAATAACCGATACTGTGTTATGGAACTTCTGGAATAGGGGAACCGATTTTGATTAAATTATGTAATCAATTCTGTTGTTTGCAATGATGCGGCGTTTAAGTTTCCAAAATTTTATGAAAATCGGTCCAGTCGTTTTAGTTTTTTTTTTATCAAAACTATTTGTCTTTAATGCATTTCCGTACTTAATTTTGTTTTTATAACATTTAATTTTAGGATCACCGAATTAATTCATTAATTTTGTTGTGTGGAAAATTAGCAAAAAAGATTTGACATACTTTTTACGAAGGTAGTCCTTTTAAGTCCTCTTTAGTAATAGCAGTCACAATTATTGTAGGTGACCCTTAATCAGTGAAACTTTTCATTATTTAATAATACTTCGGAAGCACATTATACTGATTTAAATAACAGTTGAGATCAGTGGACAGAAAAATTGAGGCAAATTTAGAGAAAACGGAGAATGTAGTGGAAATATTTTGGGGCAGGTGAGTGGAAATAGAATAAATTGAAGGCCAACTTCTTCACGAAGATTTTAACAAAATACACATTGCTGTGATGAATGGAGCAAAGCAGGAGGAGAATACTACAATATAAGAGTTACTAGGGAGGGATGTATGTTGATGACTAAGAGAAGCAGATCAATGAAAAACAGTAAATATGAAAGAAAAACATCAAAGTCATTAACTATTAATTTTGGAAAATGTTATAAATATTAATAAAAAAGTGAGATTAAAGGTAATTTTAAAATTTCATTTTCATAATACCAGATTGAAAATAAGTGAAAACTTATTGTAATTTATACTATTTCTACTTAATAGCTACATAAAAATTTAAAAAGATTTATAAATTGATTGTCATATTAATGTTGGAAGTTTTACTTTGTTAGGGCCAGTCTTTTCACCTCTAATTAAAGTTGAAAGTAACTACTTACTGATTAAACTATAGGGCTATTATTTGTTAATCTTTCAAGTAAACATTCATGTAACTTTACTCAGAGGTGAAAAGATCGGCCCATAATCACATAAATAATGACATTTATTATTGCTTGCGGTATTACAGAGATTCAACTTTAGTAACCCAAATTCAACCGTTCTCCCTGAAATTACAAAAAGAAAAGAAACAAACAAAAATTTAGATAGGTAATTTATTTCTTTATAAACTTGATTGACCAACGAGGCACATCTCAATCAAGAAGAGAAAAACTTGCCTTAGTTATAATTAAAAAAAAAATCTGAACAAGTACATATGAGTTTGATACTTAAATAAAGGTACATACACATAAAAAATAGTATCACTGCGAGGGCTTTTTCACAAAATAAATTAATAAAATACTTTTGAACATAAAAAAAATCAATGGTGTAATCGGACAAAGATTTTTCTTACAAAAACGTAAGTGTTCAAAACAAAAAAATTCAATATTCAACGAGTATAATCCATAGATTGCTATGCAAGAGAAACGGTTCGAAAGCATTTCTTCAACGAATACATAACTACTAACAATAAATTGATATACAGATTAAAATTAATATAAAAATTTTTTTTCGGCGATTTTCGGTGGTTTTTATCGTATACAACATTGCAATAACCAAAACAGAACTGTAAAAAGATATTTATATTCTTAAAAATCTCAATCAGAAAACAGGGTGGAATTTAAAATCCTAATTGATTGTGGTGTATAAAGATTTGTTTGTTCTCTATAGTAAAAAACAATTAAAACAAAAGCAAGATAATTAAAATAAGGATAATAGTCTATTGTTTAACAGGCAAGGATTGCAGGAGTATATTTACAGCATTTGCCTGCAGCTAATACTGTAAATCATAGGAGTAGGAAATGAGCATTCCTTGCGAGTTGAACATTATACTTTTGCTATGGTTATAAGCAATTTTTAATTTATTATAATTCATAAAATTAAAATGACAGCTGTCTATCTCTCTCTCTTATAAATTCATTTCATGACACAATTGATTTTATTAAAATAATAAGGAATTACAATTATGTGTTACCTGATAAGGAAATCATTACTTTGTGTTATCAGAATTATCAAATCAACAATAGTTGAGAAAGTTAAATTTTGTATTATAAGTGTAGAAAAAATATTTCATAATTTAAAACATGAATATATATTTTAATAAAGTTAATGGTAGAAGCCCCTTTAACATTTTTAATAATAAAATGTGCACCAACAAATATTTCATAAATTGAAGATATGTGGTTGAAATAATTTTCATTTTTTTTTTTAATAATTTTATAACCATTATAAATTGTTAGCAAATTTGTGATATTACTTTAAATAAGGAATATAATTTTATGTATTATTTTACATGTTGTCATAGGGGGTATCAAACAAGTGGCACTTGATGATGAAATTCGATCGTAATTATTTTGGTAATTTTGACTAGAAAATACAATTTTGTAAAATTATTACTTGTTTCAACTTGATAATTTTAGCCGTTTTTGAGAAAAACGTCATTAAACAATTCAGAGTCTAGAACAGGAAAAATCCTTGCTTAAAGTAATACTCCTCAAATAAATTCGGTAACAATTTATAAATATCTCATGAACCAGCCAACAGGTTTAATGTAGTTGACAAGAGGTGCTTCTCTTATATCGGCCAGTGTTAGCCGATACTCACAGAACACAAATATTCTAATAAATGAGAACATCGGGCAATTGTAGAGGATGTGCTCGATGGTCTCATCTTGTTTGCACTCCCTACAGAGTACGGATTCTGACAGCCCCATGATATGGAGATGCTTTCGTCCTTGGAAATGACCAGTCAGAATGTCTGTGATCAGGCGCAGATTCTGCCTAGTTATAGTCAAATGTTGTTTTAGTATTAAAAGCTCCCTGGCAACTCTGCAGTTTCTTGTTTCATCCCTTTTTTCAAGGAAAGATGAGATGAAACAAGAGAAGATGCCAAGAATGACGTTCTCCTTATGTAGCAAAATCAAAGTTAGAGTGTCAAAAATTATTTTTTGCTATTTTCCTTTTCATATAATACAATGACTGTTGCGGTATTAGCCAAAAAAAGTAGTTTTCAGGATGGAAACGGTCGCTAGACGTTTCTGTGACACTTTCTTTGAATTTTTAATTTTTGTTTTGATTTATAAATAAAGATAAAAAATTATTTCAGTTTCTACATTTTAAGTCATATTTGGTAGCATTCTATTTTGGCCACCGTGCACTGACTTGTTTGTCATTTTCAGCATTGAACACCATCCCTCGTACTCATTCATATTTAGAGTAAGCAATGTATAACGATAAAAACACCTTGACGTCATAAAATTAATGTTCAAAATCTGTGTATTGAATCTTAAAAGCGCCAATGTAAAATTTAATAATAAAAAAAAAATAGTATTTAAAAATGTATCTATTAATAATTGGATAAAGAAAAAATTAGTTTTGTGACATAGTTCTAAAAGGTCCATTCAAATTACAAGTGAATTAATAAATAAAATTTAATATACCATTTTTAAAACATGCTCTCTTAAAACCATGACACAGAAATATTCTTTGAGATATGTAACAAATTATAAATGAATAAAAAAACTACTGTTTTCAAACAATTAAATTTCAATGTTGCCTTTTTGTCCACACTATAAGAATAAATTAGCCAAAAAAGCTTAAAATAAGAAAATTTTAGTAAAAACAAATAATTCGACTGGACAACAATTAACAAGTCTTTGTAACAAAAGTTGGAAAGGCATATTTATTAGGAAATTTAATATACTAAACACAAACAATGAAAACAGCGAATATGAAAACAAATAATAGAAAAATGCTTAGGAAACTTTTCAAGAAAATCCAGTTTCTCTGTAAGATCATTTTATGGAAAATACTGTAGAAGTACGTATTTATGCTTTATATAATGAGATGCAATAACTTTTTCACACATGAAAAATGGTAGTTATTATTGATAACTAAGAAAAAATTATTTTTAATAGAACAGTGTTTCGCCTAAAATCCAATATAAAAAATTACCATATACGAGGATATTCAATAAAACGGGACGAAATACTATTATTAGGTTAATATTCGATTTTAGGCGAAGGGCGGACTTTTATTAAGAATAGTGTTCTAAGAAATCAATAATAAAAAAGAATTCTCAATGTTTTTTTTCTCATTGTATAAGATTATCAGAAAGTCATCTAGTGGTCTTTGTTTATAAAATTAGCGATTCTTTGGGATACTCTTCATACCCTCTTACATCAATATTATCTAAATGTATGCACCACTCGGAATATATATTGGCTTATCCATCGTATCGGGAAATCGACATTTTTATATCATAAATATTATGTAAATAAATATCACAAAAAAATCACATTTCAAGTTCTTGTTAGTGTGAAATGTAGAAAAAAAAAATTCATATGTCAATATGTTATCTAACATTGACTGGAAGACTATGTTGCTGTGCACTAATACAAATACAGTTTATTTAAAGAAATGTACTCCCAAAAAGGTATTTTTATGCAATAAGAAATTCTTTGTTGTTGTGCACGTTTTTAAACGCAATTTAGTTATGCTTCTTCTTTTAGAGTTAATCTCAGAAAATAATGCTTCCTTAAACGCAAAGTCAGTTCAGTTTAGTAATAACAAAATTATATTTATAAGCGCGCCACTATGAATACTTCGCGATGTTGTCTCAAGAATATTGAGAGATTTTAATTTGTGCAACAATAAGGCAGAGACATTAAGAAAAAAGTGAAAAATTCTCCCATTTAAAAACTACTACATATTTATTAAAACAAAAAGCAGCAAATTTTCATAATTTTATACAGAATGGCGAACAAATGTTTTGTTCTTTTAAAAAATTATCAAAATAAATACTTTTCGATGGTTTACAAAAAAATAAAGGCCATAAGTTTTCTTATTATTGGTATTTCCTAAAAATCGGAATAAAAATAAGGGCTCGGAAGGAATTGGAAATTTTCAAGTAGTTCAGTTTGCTCTTAAGACTTCTCTTTATGCAATGAAGTTAATTTATGTCTTCTAATTATTTAGAAACATTTTTAATTTTGTAATAAAATAAAATGTTTTACTTTAAATACCAATCTGTATCCTTACGTGAAAGGATTGCATTATTTTAAAGACAACAAATTGTCACCAATAATCTTTTAATTCTTGAAAATATTGAAAGGGGTAAGTCAAATAAAAAAATGTTCCGTTTCACAATAAAAAAAATGTGAACAAAAACATTTTATTTTTTCAACCGCAACTACCGGTTTTGAACACTTACACACAAATACGAGATCCAAAAGTGACGAGACAAAAATATAAATAAATAAAAAATCGAAAGCCCCGCCACAACACCACATAAAAATATACACCTTCATAAGGAACCGGATTAATGTCTGTAACAAACAACAGATAATATATATATAAAAAAAAATAACACAAGATTGGGGACTTTAAATTTTTGATTCTCAGCCGCTTGACGCGTCGTCTGAGCTTAAACGTTCAACACGATACCTGTTATAGGGCACATAAGGAGTCCTTGACAAATCGTTATCCGTTAGTACGCGTGTCCTATTTGGCACTACGCCCTCACACCTACCCATTAACCAGTCTGTACACTGCTTAACTTGACCGTCACTCACGTGCTCGATGGCCCACTGTTTCAGCCAGTGCCGGAAGCGGCTCGCTTTTTTCTTCGTCACCTGCGGATGGGACTGCAACAAAAAATCAAAATTCATTTATGCCTGCAAATAAATTGGCAGTTTTGATTTGATTTTCATTTAATAGTACATTATGTAACAAGGGTTGTAAGTAACAAATTACGAAATCTCAACAGTTGGCTTATTCACACAAAAAAATATGCATGATTTAAAGGGAAAAGACGAAAATTATTGATAACATCATTCAAATTAGGTTGTCATATTCAATTTTCTGTAGTGAGCAGAAAAAATTGATTTTGATTAAAAACAAGAACTTCAAAAATTCTATATTTTTAATCATACCGTTTCATCATACAATCTCCTAATACACTCACAAAAAATTGCAGTGAAAACGTTAAAAGCCGTGTTGGACTAAAGACCTTTCTTTGCTATTCGACTTGGTAAGTACAAAAGATGTCACCAAAAAGTGAGTAGCTGGTATTGAGTAAGCTGTGAATATAGGTTGATCCAAGAAATTACCTGTACAAGGTACAAAGATGACACATTTAACAAGTTATAAAAGTAATTTTAAAAAACCGACTTCAAAATCATGCAGATGCCATCACCACATCTTGACCAAATTTATAGGGGACCACCCATGAGGTACCCCCTTACTAACAAAAAAAAGTATCATAGAAATCGGACAAGGTGGTAAAGAATTACCGCTGAACATACATAAAAAATGAAGAATATGAGGATTTTCTAAAAGACCCAATTATCAGATTTTGACCAAATTTATATGGCGTACTTCCTTTCTAACAAAAAAGAATCATTGAAATCGGATAATGAGTTAAAGAATTATCACTGAACATTCATAAAAAAAAATATTAAGACGAAATGAGAACCTCCTACTTTTTTTGAAATTGGTTAAAAATGATTGAAGAAAATGCTGCAAAATTACGGGACCTATACATAATTGTAGGTCCTGTAAAGGAATACCTGGATAAATTAGGCTTTTTAATGAAGTCCTTTTACATCGATTATGTCCAAATCAACCAAGGGCAGTCAAAAATATACTACTAAGCATTGTATTTTAAGAGACATACACTTTTTGGACAACTGTAGTTTTGATCTAAGAAATTACCTGCACAAGGTACAAAGATGACACACAAATAAGGATTCAAGAAAATAAACAATGACTTACTTTTCTCGCTCTATGGAAGGCACTTATATTGTACAAATAGCTATCTTTTGTGACAGTGAACATAATCTTGGAGTCTTGTACATTGAACTTGCACTCGGTTTCGTCGTTGACCTCGTATCCAGGATGATCGGTATTATCCCTTTCAGGCCCGGTCCTTTCATTCAACTTCCTCTCAATGGCATCCAAAAGATTAAAATTATCTCCATCATTTTTCTTTTCTTCTGCCATCTGTTCTTCTTCGCGATTCAATTGGTTATTTCTAATTTGCCTTTTATTCTTGAAGTTATTTGCCACCCTCCTTTGGTACAGCTTCAAATTTCTATCCAAGTATACTGGAGATCTGGGCTTCGAATCGGAGGTGATATCGACATACCGTTCCTTGTAGTTGCTCCATTTTTTCGCTTCGTCCGCCTTTTTGTTGTCTTCGGGTTCTGTGTCAAGCAATTCGATGGTCATGCGGCAGTCTTCTTTATAAATAAATATCTTAAAACAACTATCCTCCTGGACGGCTTTCTCAGCTGCCCGTTGATAAGCTAATTCTTGGTGGACCTGTTAAAAGTAAATTGTAGTTAGTGCACTCAGAAATACTTCAACAGTTGAACATATAAAGGACGTATGTGCAGAATACAAAAATAGTTCATACCATTGCTAAGATTGATATAAAAAATGAATACTCGTTTTAATAGCAAATTAGAATAGTTATGTAAGGTACCAGTCAAATAATTATCTGAGTCATTTAGTGATGTGTTGTTTTTTTAATTGCTGAAATATATAAGTTAATTGTGGAAATATGCCAATAATATTGTTAGTTTAATAGCTTGTATCTCAGTTGACATTAAACCTGGCACATTTAAACAAATGAAAAAAATAAAAAATGTAATAACTGTTCTGTGTAATTTAGAACCCTATTCCATCTCTGATTTCCTAAATAGCAACCTAAACGAATATCAAGGAGCCAGTGCTCGATTTTGTTCAAAATGCTTGAACCACTTTTAAATTAATATGTTATATAACTTGTATTTGTAATAAAACTATATTCCTGTTTCTTTTTGACTAGCTTTGTACATTTTCTGTACGTGCAATAAACTATTTATTTATTATTAATACGGGGGCCACTATTTATATTGTGAACCTTGGTGTCAGCCGCCATTTTCATTTGAAGAGTTGGTATTTTTGTCCCTAACCATATTTATTACGATTTTACATGTGGATTACTGAGACAAGAGTGCATCGACAAACTTACTTCCACTTTTGGCAATGAAGCCCCACATTTTCCATAGTGAAAAGCTGATATAACGAATTTAATCGTGGACGTCCTTCCCTCAAAGACGAATTTCGTGACGGTCGTTTAAAATCAATTGCTGGGCCACAAAACAGAAAATGATGATGTGCAAGAACTGATATTGCAAGGTCGTCATGTGACATACTCCGAGATTGAGACAACCTTGGGCATTAGTTCCACTAGCATACATAAAATATTGCATATTCATTTAGCAGTGAAAAAAATTTGTTCTCGTTGGATCCCTCACAATTTGACAAAAGCTCAAAAACATACACGCGTCAATTGGTGTAACAAGATGCTTAAGCAATTCAATGGAGGTATTTCAAAAGATGTGTATAAGATTTTAACAGGTGATGAATCATGGATCTTTCCATATGATCCTGAAACCAAACAGCAATCGACTGTATGGGTTTTTCATGATAAACCAAATAACCAAAAATTGGTCATGTCGCAACAGTGCCAATAGAACAGTTAATTCTAAATGGTACAACACCATTTGTTTGCCACAAGTGTTTGGAGAAAAGTGGAAAACAAAACGCCAAATACAAAAAATTCTCCATCATGACAATGCACGCTCGCATCCATCAGCTCAAACAAGGGACTTTTTGAGCATTGAAATAATGTCTCATGCGATATATGGTCCTGAATTGGCACTCAACGACTTTTTCTTGTTTCTGGATATCAAAGATAAACTCCATGAACAACGATTTTCTTTGGCTGAAGAAGCCGTTGATGTGTTCAAAAATCATGTTTTGGAGGTGTAGGTACCAAGAACAATGGAAAAATGAATATTACAAGGGCTTTTAGGACCAAAGTGTGCAATAGAGCCAGTTGTTCTATGAATCTTTCCATTACATCTTGTACTGGAAAAAAGGGGCTTTTATAAATTGATTAGAATGTGATCCTTCAAGAAAATATTATACCATGGTATTAGAAAACTTAGGATTCCTATCACTGATTATTATGATGTATAGTTCAGCTATCTTCTGAACAAATTAGTAACTATTTGAACTGACTGCTTCTACCTGATGAGACCCAAATATAGTGAAACCGGCTGTCGAATGTTATCTTTTTAAATGTCAAATCAAAGGGTTTGTTGTATTGACAGTCGATCAGTCAAGAACTCGTTTTATAACACTGTTATTCAATGCCAAGTATATAGCCCAGGAAGTAATTGTTTGTGTTATAAAGCGGTTGTATATATTCAGACTAAAAATCGGAACAGGAGGCATGGTATCAATCATCCTGTATTTTTATAAGTTATATGCTAAATTAGTGCTGGTGTAATTTTGGTAACACTGGCAATTACAATGACAACAAGCAGACTTTTCGAGTGCGTTTTGTTCTTTTTGTTTGCCTGAATTTTGAACGTTTATATTCCTAAAATAAGTAGATAACATGCATTGAGTAAGTCCAAACACACTTTTCAAAAGTGCACGAAATTAAATTTACTAATTTGTCTGAATTGCTTACAAACAATGGCAAAATATAGTTTAAAAAAGAAGAAAGGAAAAGATTACTGACTTTTAAATGTCTTATCGCTGTTTATGAATGTTCATTTCATATCTTATTAAAATAAACATAATGTCATTCGCGGAAAACATCAACTCTGCCGTTGAATTTTGAAGCGCAAAAGCCTACTTTGGATAGTATGATCGTAGAAAAATTACTTTTAATGAAAATTCCCATCACTAATAATAAATAAACAATATTTAGAAAAAAACTAAAAACATTAAAATCTTATATGTCAAATTCAATGAGGTTTTTGTTAAAATTATTATCGTTAACAGTCCGATCAATAGCCCTTTGGGATTACTTCCTAATTAAAATTTTTTCTTCTCATCTATAAATGGAAATATCTTTCTCAAGTCTATATTACAATGAAAATTAACTCACCCTTTTGTAAGCAGTGCCACACTGTCCCCCAGCCGCTCCCTTCTTCTGTTCTCTCAAAAACAGATCCGTACACGCGATCGCTGTCCGTTCCGTAACACAATGTTGTAACTGCCGCACCGCGTACGAAACCACTTTGTCCAGCGTAAATGCGACGTACGCGTGAATACCAAACATCTCCCGTAAGGTATCCTCGAAAATGTTGGCATCCATGTTGCCGTCCAGCAAATTCTTCACCATATCCAGGAAGGCGGGATAATAATCTTCAATTTCGATTTGAGGCTTTGGTTTGAGTCTAAGAGCTATGGCGGTGCTCTCTTTACGATTTGATTTCAGCTTAGCCTCGTCTGATGCCAGCACCACGGATCGCTCATAGATCTTGGCCAGGCGTTCACATAGAATGGAGTGCAATCGCAAAAATATGTACCAATTATTGTTGGCCATGAATAAAGTGTAAGATTCATCCTGAAACAATTTAATTAAATTACTACTTGTCAAATATTTTATACATTTTAAATATTAAAAATGATTAAAAGTACTAAATTATTATTATAAAACGCTTGTCGCTAAATTAATAAAGGATTTTGTTTTATGTGGATTGTAACTAAAAAATTTCAGAACCCTCCTATTTAGGACTAATGGTTATATTATCAGATAATACTTACTGGATCACTAGCTTGTGCATGTAATGGAACTTTCTGTTCATCCTCTTTTAAATCAGGCTCTGATTTAATTCCCGGACTAATATCACCTCTTCCTGGAGATTTTCCCGGACTGTTCCCGTCCTTCTTAACGTCCTTTTCGGATTTCGGCGAACTATTTGGACTGTCTTCATCGTCCTTATCATCTAGAAAAATTAATAAATCTTTAAAATAAACTTTTTTTATTTAAAAACCATCAGCTTACCATCTTCTTCTCTTTCATCATCACTCAGTTGTTGCCTCGGATGGAAGAATAAGTCTGGCACAAACTGCCTCAACAAATGTTTGATTCTTCTTTTTTCACCTTTTTGAATACCCGTTTGCCTTTTAACGTGATGGATAAGCAAATTGGTTGCATCATCCAATATAGTACGATCTTTATAGGATAGTACCATGTGTGGCCCAACTATGGGTTCAGCCCCTTCTTCATTTTGTTCATGCCTCTGAAAACGAAAAAATCCAGATAAATAGGCACTGTTAACATTAAGCATAAGAAAATGTCATAAATATTTTATCTAGGACTTAAAAAACATATTTTTTAAGCTCCCGCAACAATTTATTATTTAATATGGCACCATATACATAGATTTGACTATATTTGATCAGCCAGTTCAGATCGTAAGGTGCTTATTAGACAAAAGATTATTAATGAAATTATTTACTTACCTCATCAAAAATAGTTTCAATCTCATTGAAGAGACTCTTTGATCGCAACGCTTTGACATCAGTCTGTTTAAAATTAATTCCCTGATGATCCAAACTCTTCAAATAGTATTTTTCATTCTGCTCCCTCCAAATTTTGTTAAAACCTTTTTGAGCCTCCCGCCATTCTTCCTCTTTAGCTTTAAGTCTCCTCAGTACGACCGGCACCGCTACTGAGGGATTCCTCTTCAATCCGTCGATTATGTCTTGCGCTTTGTCACCATATATCCTAAAAAAACAACTGGATTTGAAAAAAAAAATCATTTTACTAATCATTTTTTAATTCGAATAGGGCCAGATTTTTTTAGTTGGAAACTTACCTTTTTATAGCTCTCTGATGCAGAGTGGGGGAATTTCCACCTAAACAGTCATCTAATTTATATTTCGCTACGTCGTCGGGGTTCATCCGACTAAGTTTTTTATTGACTCCCTCCAATACTCTGATGGTGGACGCATTAACTTCAATTACAACGTCGAGTTCGAAACGTTCATCTTCGCAACGATACATATACTCTTCATATTGCGTCTTCCTTGAACTAAAACAGGATTTTTAATCATGCATTGCTCAACGATCAACTCATATTTTGTGCATAATTTCATTTTCGCAGTAATTAACATGATTTAATTTTTGAAACAAATATTTCACATCTGAACTATATCAACTGTCAACACTGTGAAGAAATGATGCCTGTACAGATGTAGTAGTCTTTACAAAAATTAATACATAATGTAAAAAAGTAAAAAAACCTTACCTGACAAATGTACTGTCTTCAGACCACGTTGGGAATGATACCCATTGATCGTTCAGCACTTCTTTGCAGAGTTGCGTCCGACCAGAACACTTCAGTCCCTCTTGCGCCTTTGGAATGATGCAATAACTTGCGCCTAACCTTTTGGCAGTGGCGAGGTCAATTTCAAGGGCGTGATCGCCTTGTGGGCGTTCATTCCTCGCTACGTTGAAAGGCACAGCCTCGGTTTCATTCTGACCCATAAATTCCCGGAACCAACGAAGCAACTCCGGGAATTTTCCAAGAAACGGCGTCACTATCTGGATGAGTTCCGATTTCGATACGATTTCTTGGTTAAAGAGAGTAAGGCAACGAAGGAAATTGTTGTACACTTCCTGAGAACGCACAGCCTTTCGTACCTGGAAAGCAAGGTACTATTGAAACGACCGTTTTACCTCGATTCTTATTTTTAATAGTTCAGAAATTAAGTTCATATAAGGTGCAATAAATATTATATATTTTTTTGAAATTTATCAACCAAAATATACATTTAATAGCGTTTTGACCATTTATTTCCAAGAAAGTTTTGTCAATGCGCTAGTTCAGTGTGATGTCATTTTGGTTCCACTGACATTTAACTCTAACCAAACTTTTAACAAAAACATCAATAAGTTTGACATATACGTTTTTACAAGTCATGAACAATAGTTTAAAGGTATGTAATTGGTAACTAAACGATTGTGTATTTGATACATTCTATCTACTTACTTTAGGAATATATTTATAAAAGTGAAAAAAAAAAAAAACGATATAATTTAGGTAAACAAAACGAACAAAACGCACTCAAAAAATCTACTGTCACTTTAATTGTCAGTGGGACCATAATTACATCATCACTGAACTAGCGCATAGGACTTCTATGCAAGGACAATGCAGCCAACCTAACAAAATAAAATTGACACTAATGACATAAGAAATCAGATTACATAAAGAAGCAATTTTTTCGTTTACCATTTTTTTTTTATCTATTTTTATGCTGATTACATGTTGTACCCGTAATTTAAAAGCTGCCAATAATGTCAAAATATAACCCTATCATTTCATTTTATTTGTTATTAATGAGTCTATTCGGGCTTGTATTGTTTTTGTTCCATTTCATTCAAACATTCCTTTTGATTTAATGTTATCTATTTTTGTCGAATACCTAATGCTGCTGTTACAAATTCTATACAACACTAATTACATTATACCCATTACCATTATCGACAGCTGACATTGACAATTTTTTCAACCTATAAATGTAAAATACCCTAAACTAATAAGTATTTCTACATAATACAAATCCCGCTGTACGTCATCAATGACGTTGGTCTTTCGTCAAAGTACTACCAACTAAATCAAATGTCCCTAACTAAGCTAATAATCCGAAAATGTCACAAATATTCACGAACATTCATGAACATAGTCATATTATTAAAAAACGAATTATAGGAGTGTGATTTTTTTAGAATTTCTTCAATTAATTAGCTTATACACGTCTTATTCTTGATAATATAAATTTTATAAAAATTGTATTACATGTTTATTACTCAAAAAAACATACTTTACATTAAATAATTTTGACATTGTGTCCATGAAAATTGTATTTATGGAGAAGAAATGTCATTATGGCAAGTAATACACCATGTTGCGGCGATGCCAATAATATTTAAAAAAAATTACTGATTTAGGTTCGGTTTTAGGTTGTTTACAAGTCGATTCCTAAAACAGTGTGAGAAAAAACTGATTATTTTTTTTATTTCTACATACAAAATGTCAAAAAACGAAATATATAGAAATATGAAATTTATTACTTGTCTCTTTTAGCATGTTGCAGCAACCCTAAACCTAAAGATTTCTACTGTTAGTAGTATTTCGCAAGCAGTCAAGAATAATGAATGATTAAAATCGCTACTTAAAAAGTATTCATATAAACAAAGGAGTACTAATAGAATAACACTGGATACGAGTGATGGTATTTATAAAATGTATGAAACAAGTAAGTATCAAGACAAATTTATTTATCCGATCATAATTTATTTATATTACCTATAAAAGTTTCAATTTGTATACCTATCTACAGTAATATAAATACTTATTTGCAGGTCAACGTATAACTTTGGAACCTTTGAGAGGAAAGTTGACTGAGAAGCAAATGTTTAATGTCTATATTGCATCATTGTGAATTGTATTAAAAGATTGAAGGAAAAAAAGATAACCAAGACGTAGGCTGTAGAGAGTTCAATTTCCAGGAAATTATAAAAAAACAAAAGAAGCAATTCATTTTCATTGATGAAACATGTATCTTTCAGCTTCTGGCAAAATAATGACAAAGGGTGTTAGACCTACAAAAATCGATGGCAAGGGGTATGTCACCAAATTTGAATAAAGGTATTAGTAATCGTGTAAATCGAGTAAAAAAAACTTGTTAGGTATGTTTTGTTTTTCTTATCATGTGCCAAAATTGCTATAGGTATTCTAAACTGTAATATTGAAATGACACATCATATTGAAGATTTAATGGTAGATACGCTATTCTAGAAAAATTTGATTAAAGTGGTCCATAAAAATCTTTATGTTTTTCACATTCTCAAGATGTACAGTGAAAATCAAAAATGCCTTTTTTTCAGAAATAAACTTTAAAACTATCAAAAAATTAAAAATGAAGTTACAAGATTTGCTATAATGGTGTACCTATCATTAAATCATTGATATAATGTGTTGTTTCGATATTACAATTTAGAATATAGCAATATTGACACATGTTATACAAAGTAGCAACTAGAAATAAATAAAACATTATTTTTTCAGGTACAAACCACCAAAGAAATATAAGGTAGATAATTAAGCAGATATGCAAAGTATTGCATCTTCTTCTCTGTCATTGTGTTTTTAACCCCAATTGAACTTATTGGGGACCTTTCCAAGAAACATATTTGCAGAGAGGGTGTTTTTGATAGAATGGAAATTATTTTTATTATGACGGCGATTTAAATACTTGCTATCTGGATTAGGAGAAATGATAGAATTTTAATTGGAATTACGAAGATTAGTAGATGAATAATTGTTTCTTATGAGAAAAAATATATTTAAAAAAACATTGTCTAATGTTTAAAACAATAAATACTTTCATATATATTTGTATTTTTATTTAATTTATTCCAAAATATAAAAAAAATATTAGACTCTGAGGTTTCGCTATGCGACTCACACAATTTGATAATGATTGGAAAAATAGTAATACCAATAAACAAATATAAGAGTAAATATTATAGCAAAAAGTAGAATATTTCACAGTTTCATATTGTTAAAGAATCCACTGAAAACAACATTTTTCAAATGTCTTTTGAAACTGATAGGATGGAGAATCTTGATGTTTCAAGTGATAAAGCGATTGTTCATACACGTTTCAATAACTTTATATTTGAAAAGAAGCAGCGATATCAGTCTATTTTTGAAGCATTTCTGGCTATCTTGAATACTTGAGATACAAAACCATTACTGAAAGTAAGATTTACTAAAGTACCTACTCAAATAAGTTAACAATTTCCTTCTTGTATTCAAATATTTTAGCAATTTCAAACTTCAATTCTTTGAGTATAGGTTTCTACTGCTATTATGACTCCTCCAACATGCCTTCGTAGTTTTCATTTTTTCAATTATCTCTTTAATTTTATGAGGTGTTGTGGTTTAACTTAAATAACTTAAATAACTTTCTTGGTGAAATGAAATTAGTTTGAGATATTTTCTGTGCTAATTCTGGACCAATTTTAATTTATCTCCAATATACTACCTTGCAGTTTTATTCTCCATGACTTGCAATATGTTTACAGCTTTTTTGCTCAGATGTTTATTTTGTGCATAAAGGAATTTAATATTTTCCATTAGTTATATACATTTAAAACTAATTATTCCTAGTAACATAAACAAATACATAACCTTACAATTTCTAAACTCCTTAACTATCCTGACGATTAGACAACACTGCAAGGCCGTGACGTCATAAATGATCTCTGACGTGCATCAAGATTTGTATATAAATAAATAAATATATATAAAAAGCATAAAAGTAGACAATAAACCAAAAAGTAAATGAAGAAATAGCCTCTTTATGTGATCGGATTTCTTATATCATTAGTGTCAATTTTAATTTGTAAGATTGATACATAGTATTTGCATGAAGAAAATGAAAATTAATCGCATTTTATTCATATTCTGTTTTTAAAAAACAACCTGGCAACAATGGTTAACCACCCGCACTACAAAAAATACCTAAGTGATCATTAATATTTTTGAATGTGTATATTTTAACATAGTTTAATCCTGATATCAGGTATCTGTATAATTTTCCGAGCCGTTTTCGCAATTAAGGTAGTTCACTCGTAAAACGGCTTTTCTTAAGAATTTATTAAAATTGAAATATAAGGTTAATGAAAGTGTCTTTTACGTAACTGAAAAAAAAAAAAAAAAATTTTGACCCTCTGTGAAACGAGATATTAACAATCAAAATGTGTATAATTATCACTATTGAAGCCTCTCATGTACTCATGTACACAAGCAATGCATTTATTTCAAGATATATCGAAAACGTTTCTTACTATATTTTTTAAAAACTAATGTACTGTAAATCAAGATGTTATAAAATTTTCTAAAATGAATTTTTTGACCATCTTGGTAAAAAGTATTGATTTTTAAAAGAACAATATTTTTAAAGCAGTCGACGTGTAGTTGTATTTGCGTACAATGATTACAACTTGGCAACATTGTAATCGCTACACTTAACGCGCCATAACTGAATAACACTCGATCAGCTAAGAGGTTGTTATAACCTCGCGACGTGTTCTTGAAAAATTTGAGAACTAGAATCAGCGGTTCTGTTTGAACTAAAACAAACCCTTAAAATTAGTATGAAGTCGCAAATATCTATAGCCCACCATTCATATATTTGCGACGTTGCTGGATGGATTTTACTTGAAATTATAACGTATCCGTATATATAAGCTTACATGTGTTGTGTATAGTCTTTTACAAAAATAACATTTTTTAGCATTGAGAATCTCGAACTTTTGGTATTCACCATTAGGCGAGATTTTTATGTACAACTGTCGCGAGTGAACTACCTTAGGGGTTTTTCGTGTTTTTGAGCATCATTTTAAATACTATCAAATGATTTTAATAAAAATTTAATATGTGGCGAGTTTTTTTACATGATTTTTTTGAGTAATCTTTGCTTCAGCTGCGCAGTATGCAATAAGTAGTGAGTTCTACAAGGCTGTTAAATTTATTGACCTGAATAATACATTTAACGACTTTGTTGATTTTTTTTACTGAAGCGGCCCTTAGTATCTCCCCTTCAAATATTTGCACTTCATTATGTCCACCTTGTATTTTACACATTAATGCACACATTCTATTTTTGAGGTGTAGAGTTTCAGTTTTAAATTTGGGTTTTTATAATTTGTCCAGTTATTTTTGGTAATGATTTAATTTTTTTAACCCTGTAAAAAAGTACATTTGATTTTTAAATATTTAATTTCTTCTTTCTTAATGCATTAAAACTTTTTAAACGGAATAACAAACTCCTCATATATCTGTGCGATGCATGACGAATCAAATAAAATGTGATAAAAATGAAATATTTCTTAGTAATATGAAAAATAGCTAGCCAGATTATTAATAAACCATTAACTCTGAAAGGATTCAAACACCAAAAAAAAAGAGTATAGAAACTTAAGTTATTTTGGGAGTTCTTATGATACTATTGTGATAGAGAATATCTTTGTTTTCTGTAATAATGCTAATTAAATTCAAGATAATCCATCGAATAATCAGAAATGCAGTAATTACGTAGGGAAATGATTCCTACTTTTTCAATTTTTCCTTATTATCTATTCAGTTATTTAGATATGAAAAACAATTCTTCCATATTTTATAATGTAAACATGCAAATAAAGTTTAAGGCAGTTGTTACTTAATTTTATAAGATATATCAGTTGGTTTAGAAAGGGCCTGCATATTAGCTGTTCTGAAAAAAAAAAAAAAAAAAAAAAAAAAAAAAAAAAAAAAAAAACCACTCCCCGATTTAGAACATTTTGTGACATAAGTATGTCCTTTGTGAGATCACCAATTCAAACTAACATTTAACTACTTTTGAAAATATTTTAACAAAAACTGTTATCATTCAACATGCTTTAATAAAAAATGTATAAAGTATTCTTATTATTGTTAATTGTTTACACTAGTTATCAACATGATAAACATCTGTGCCAGTATAAAAATAAAGGATTGTTTCGTCTTAATACAAACAAGCAGGCATGCATTTTAATTTTATTTTTGAATTAAAGAATAAAAACTTAAAAGAAAAACTCATTAAAAAATGTAAAATGAAATAAAAGTGCAGTTACTAAAAATAGAACATAACAGACATAAGGTATTAACTATTCCAAAGTAAAAAAATTACAAATATACATAATCCAATAGTTTCGAAATAAACAAGAAAAAATAGCACTTAGAATTTCACTCTTTAATACAAAATATCTGTAAATTTTAAGATATTAACCTTGCAAATCCATATAACTAATCTGGTAACCAAATCCATTCCTGAATATGGTTGCCATATTTTCCTAAAACTCTAAACAAAATGACAGAAAAAATATTTAAGGGGTTAGACTCTTGGAAAAACTAATAAAATGTAGCAATACTCTTAATCTCCTTTTCAGTCAATGTAACTAAGACTCGTTACATTGAATGCAAGCGCCTGTGATTTTTAGTCAAAAGCGCGGGTATAACAAAGCCTATGAAACAAATCTATTTAATTTAAATGCGTATTGCAAACGATTTTGTTAGGCGCGGGCGCATTCAATTGTACGATCATCAGATGGATGTAAACAAACTGATTTGTTTTTCTTTCATTGTAGGAGTATATTGAAACATATTCAAACTTATGTATATTGAAAAACTTATTTTATATATAGAGTCAAGAAGGTGCAGAAAACGAAGTTATGCCACAACATAATTGTAATAAAAAAATATGGGATGATGTGGCAACAGAAGTAGGAGAAACTACTGAGCAAATATTTTTTTCACAGATTTTTAACAATAGGTAAGTACCTCATAATTTATTAAAAAAATGGAAATACAAAATAAATATATTTTAATTTTGTATTTGGATTGCAATGAAACCAATTGGTTTGTTGTTACACAACCACTGTACCACAGAATTTATTCGTAATTTTTAATAGTTTAATAATATATTCCCAACCTTTTTTTCTACTCCATATACAATTTATTCACCAAATATTTTCGACTAATAAGTAATAATTTGGCATATTATTTTGAATCATTTCACTAAGCTACTGTACAGCCATGGTCGATCGAATGGAAACAATGTCAACACCAGTAGTGCGCGCCGTTCAAAAACTCGCCTAAAGTCCCATTGATGTAATCTCATGATAATAGAAGACTCCAAAACTTACTAATAGTCGCCTCAGTGAACATAAATTCAGGCTAAAGATATCACGATTTATATATTAATCATTGTGATTTTTAGTCAACCGAATTCAGGCCAAAGATTGTTCCATGAAACATCCCAAAAATTGTTACAAAGTTTTCAGGTAGCGTTCAACGTCAAGTAGTACGTAATTAGGTGAAGTTTGGTGTTTACGTAAAATACAAAAATTACAAAATAATGAAAATATTTTGAATTTAAATTAATAATACTATTTTCAAGTTAATATTATAATACAACCGAAACAAAGAATTTAAGCCTGAACTGGGAATATAAGCTACCAATTGTTAATGATGTAGACATTTGAACAATAAAAAATAATTTAGTTTTTAAATTTTAATTCTGATATTTCATAAAAGTTTTGAAAAAAATATTTAACATTCACAATTTTCTTATTTTTGCTTGTATAGGGAGGGAGGGGAGGTAAAATCATTGAAAGTTTGCTTATGTAATACTTGAATGTCCTATATTCACGTAGGATGTATTGTTTAAAAATAAGGAATATTTAAAGAACTATGTTTGTCGTGAAGAGTTCCAGTGTCCCCAGATGGACTGAAAAAGAGGAAAAACTTTTTTTATTTTTACCTCTTTGAAAAAACGTTATTCTTCATTTACTTCGTTTACTTATTTCAAAACTACTAATAATACAAACAGAAGTTGAATATCTCTTTGCTTTAGTAAAATAGTTGTCATTTCACTAAAGCAAAAATATATTCAACTTCTGTTTATAAAACTCTTATAAAAAATAACATTTTCTTTAAAAGTAGCAAATAAAAGATTTTCTTCTTTTCCAGTTCATCCAGGGACACCCTGTATAAACCAATCAGAATTTAGAAATCTAGAATGTCACTAAAAAAAAGAAAAGGTGAAGTGCAACTGGACAATGACTTAACGATGGATGATGTACTAAACCCATAAAGCAATGAGGATCTTGAAGGAAGACCACTGACAGGATGGACACAACCTAACCCCTTAAAAGCAGTAAGAAAGTGGATGCATAAGCTTAGAAGAGAGTAAATTGGAATATATTGAAACAATCCTTTGTTCAGCTAACATGATACTCTTTACCAGACAAAGTTATCTACCAAAAATACTAATCAAAATTAAGTTTAAAGTCTAATCTTACCTTATCAAAAAATGCGTAGTCATTTAGAGTTCCATACTTTCCCGCTTCGCTCAGGCTAACGTCCCGACAAGTCGATGAGATTTTATGCTTCTTTGGAGGAGGTGCATCGCGGTGCTGATAACTAGAATAAGGTGGAGATCTTTTGACAGCGCTCCCAGATATATGGCTTGGTTTGTGTGTGACGCCGTGCCTCTCGGGCAAGTGGTCCCTGTGATACGGTTTGGAAGGAGTCTTTTTCACAGAATTAGAATGTTCCAATACAGGTGCCTAGAAAAAAATTAAAGAAAACGGTTAATCTCGAGGTTCCTAAAATCTTCTTTTATTCAATAAACAGCATTCACTTTTCACTTATAAAAATGATCTATAGGGTGATAATCTCCTGGCTTCTAGTTAATTAATAAATAAATGTCAAGGGGTAAATTTATATGGAATTACGTGTACACATCGAAAGTCTAGAGTTTTTTTTTTCTTAGTCATGGAATTCCATTAGAACACATTGAATTTTCTTAAAAACTGTCGAAATTCAAAATGAAACTATTTTAAAACATTAAGAAAATTTATATTTACCAAATTGTAGGGAAGAGATCCCTGTAAATCAAACAACCTGCAAATCAAACAACCAGCAAAATGTGGAAAAATATTATGCACATATTATATCACTGAACGGTTGGTATATTGGCCAAATTATATTAAAATTCGAGGACAATGATATAAAATAAAAATCTTGTGAACTAATTCGATTTAAGTGACCCAAAGCAGATGACAGATCTTGTCGAAAAAAATATCTTTTTATATGTATCTTATATTTGCTGATATGCTAGCCTTGAAATAAGGAACACTACTCTGGTACTGAAAGATTTTCACATCGGACATCAAATGGAAAAAAATCTAATAGACCATCTAAAGTTTGTAGATACAAAAGAAATAATTGTTCAACTCTTCAAACTAGATTTTTTTACTGGAGATCAATAGTAAGTCCGAAACATTAGACTTTGGACCCATAGCGTACGTATGTCTATAAACTTGTCTTTGAGAGCTCTATACAGTGTTCTATTTAAAACAAAGTATGAAAAGATTTTAATAGTCAAAATTCCAAATTTAGACTAAATTAAAAAAATATTTTTATTTTTCAGAATTTGTTTTCCGTTCCCGTAATTCTTTAGGTAGTACGGAATTCCATTAAGTCCTTCGTAATTCCTGTGTGCACTATTTCCCTAGGACATTTACCCCTCTATCAATGTTATGAAATAATAAAAAACACTCGAAAGAAAAGATTTATCACTGCTTATTGTAAAAGCGTTTTTGTGAAAAATTGCATATTAATTATATATAATTTTTAACTTTAATTCAATTTATTTAAATCTTAATATATTTAAATTAATATTACTAGAAATGTAATCACTTTTTGACTTTATTGATATTTTGCTTTTTTAAATACCTTTTGTTCTTACAAGCATCTACAAAGTTTGACCAATGAAAAAATCATGACAAATTTATTATGTTTTTTTATACTAATAAACTCTTACTTGATTGATATGACTGGTTGCATCTGGTAAAAATTGTCCGAATTCCGCCAGGAGATCACTTTGATTTTCGAAAAGTTTAGCCACCTGACTGTACACCTCTTGCTCTGTGAGGTGTTTGATCCCAGTTCCAATACTTGTTGACTCTTTCAATGTGCGTTGTTCTTTTTGATAAGTATGTAAAATTTCCAGAAATTTTTTATATTTTTCAGGCTGACCTTGGAAACGGTTCTGAAATTTTTAGAAAAACAAAAGAATATATATATTTACCGTTGGGACATTTACGAGAGTATGAAGTGAGCCACAAAAAAATGTTTTTAAAATAGGCCTTGCAAAAAATAATGTATGTCAGAGAGTAAAATTCTTCTTTTCAAGTATTAGTCCAGTTCTTATTTAGAGCTGTACATAGTTATTCGTGATTCAAATTAATTTTCCCGAGCTGTGTAGGGATAAACACATATTACAGATTTGTCATAACAATTGATTTATTTGTAATATAATTATGAAGGAAATGGTAAAGTTCAACTTTGATATTATTCCTAGTTACCTAGTGTCAAGTTAAGATTTCCATAAAAGAGTTAGTGTAGTTATCTTTGTCACTGAAATTTTAATACGGCAATACTTAGTCTACTTAACATGTTATTTATTAAATGTAACCCCAGAAGAGCGATCGGTTAGCTTGAATTGCCAATCACGGACATGACTTATATCTGTCTTTGTCAGTGATGACCTACTTTAGAAACATTTTTTGTGGATCACTTGTTAATTGTGTTTTAATGATTTGTGTTTGTAATCTATAAACAATGAAATCTAAAACAGTAATTGCCAAACTTGGATTATTTTTTAATTTTCTCATAATTTATTGTAAACAGAAATTGCATAACTAGAATTAAAAAATATATATTAAAACTTATTTTCCATTTACTTTATATTGTTGATAAACATTAAACTCCACCCACAAAAATAATATGTAACGGCCATCAATTTTTTTTTCCAATATTGAACAAAAGGAAAATATTAGGTCAATAAATATACTGAAAAAACTTGCAAGAATGCATTTTGGCTCATGATAAAATATCGTTTTAAATGAAATATTTGCTGAATATTTTCTATTTTCTTGTTTCCAAATTGCAAGTTGTTTAAGTTGAAAAATGAGGAATACAATTTTATTATCTTTTTTAAAATAAATTATTATTTTTTTTTTTTTAGTTTCCTAACAGAAACAACTCATTAGAATGCACACTGGCGCCACTGGCAAAAGCAAATTAGTATATCTTGTCTTAATTTACATTTAAGGATGTTTAGTAGTTCTCACAGTACCTCCAATTGCTGAAAACAATTGTTATTTATAGGACATCCTGTATAAACTGATAGCTGAAATGTTTTAATAATAAAGGATAATGGAATTTATAATTAAATTATATTTAAAATATAATATTTTGTATAACATTAATAAATTATAAATAGGAGATCCATTTAGATTGTTATACCCCATTCATTTAGTTTAAATAGCAAACATTGTTTTAAACAAAGGGGTCCATAAAATAAATTAACACTTACATTACATATACTCTTTTTTTTGTTTCCTCTAAAATTCACCCATTCTTAGGCATCAATAACATGTACAGCCATAAAATGTAAATGAAGGGTCAGCTTTTATACCAACCTTCAGTGAAAGAGATTTTAATTATGTTTTAAATAATGAGAACTCAATATAAAAAAAATGGTAAGACAGGCAACTTGTATGAAAATGAATATCTTTATTACTTTGGACCCACAATTTGTTCTATTTTAGCCATCGCGATAGAATAAAGAGGAGATGCTATGAGGATACTAAAACCTTTGCATTACACTTTTACGTCATGTGTCAAAATCGAGCTAGTACGCCATTTTGATTACATTTTAGTGTTCAGGTCATCTCTACTTCATTCTATCTCGATGATTTTAGCCAATCGAATGGAGTAATTTATTAGCATAATTATTGACCAAGTATCTTTAAATTTAACCACATGCAAATCTTTAAAGATATAAACGTCATTATAATGAATGCCCCACAGAGTTGGGCGATATTTCAATTTAATTCATTTATTTATTATTTAATCTCAACTGATAATCTTTACGTGTTTTTCTAGCGATTTCATGTTTTCCAGAAAAATTTTAACAAAAGTTTAATTTTTATGGATTTAAATAATCATAACCTCATTTATTTGAATTTACCTAACCAAAGTAACGATTCAAAGTGCGAAAAATCACGCTATCTTCCAACTTTATTTTTTCTCTGAATTGACCAGATGAATGACTACTAGACTAGTTGTATACAAAAACCGAATTGTAAGCATTCATGGTGTTATTCAGGTAATTGTCAAATTATTATGGGAGAGGATTGTTTATGGCTAACATATTTGGAATTCACTTATAAGGCTCTAAAACGAAAAAAAAAGGCTATCACAATTAAATTAAGGTATTAAGTTATGCTAGTTATTATCTGTTTAATGAATTTTTCTGATTGCAACTATTATTGAGTCATATAGCGTCCTTATTCCAGATAGAGACGTATGGAGCAGGGGGGATAAAACCCACTCCCAGGCTGACTATGCACTGTACTCGGATATCTCAAAAACTGAAAAAGGAGTAGGAGTGCGAGTTTTCGACCAGAAGCCACGAGTTGACATATCAATAAACCTGGGCTCTCTGGCCACGATCTTCTAAGCAGAAATTATTGCTATAGAATTGGAGCGAGAGCGTGGATTAAGTTTCTACCTGCTAACAAGACTGTAAAAATCTTTCCGGATAGCCAGGAAGCCCTCAAGCTCCAATCGAGTCTACTCAAAGCTAGTTTGGAACTATATAAATACCCTTGAGTGTCTCGGTATCCAGAACAGAATTAATTTGATCTGGGTTCTGGGACAGAGCGGTGTGGAGGGCATTGAAAAAGCAGACGCGCTCGCTAAAAGAACCGAATTTGAGTTCATAGGACCAAAACCATTCCTGGGCATTGCAAAGAGCACTGCTAAAGGAATTATCTCAAAATAGAGGGTGCAACACTCACCAACTGGAGAGATATCCCAGGGCTAACTCATTTGAAGGCATTTATAACCAATCCTTCGCCTCTGATCAGATCCGGGAATGGTGTAGGAAAGATCTACGCATTTTCACAGTACTGATGACAGGACATTGTCGTCTGGGCAACCTCATGAGAGGGATAGGTCTGCGCAACAAACATCGGACTGTCGATTCTGCAGCGTGGAAGACGAATCTATAGAGCACATCCTATGTACCTACTCCGCTTTGGAAAGAACTAGGTTCCAGATATTTGGATACATCCGGCTGGAGCCTACCGACTTTAAACAGGTCTCACCTAATATAACCATGTGATTCATCTAAAGGTGTGGCTTGTACTATAAGTTAACAAACTCGCATAAACCATTCGCACTCAAATTAGCAGCCATCTCGCTCTTTCTAAGTGGCAGCCGATGCGACAGCTCTGTCTGCCTAACAAAAAACTCAATCTAAATACTTGCAATAAATAAGGGCTTAAGTATGAATGAATGGATTAGTCTAGTAGTTTTTCATTGCGGGAATTGAAGTGGATGTTTTTATCTTAAAGGATACCTAGGCAACTATTAAAAAATGTTTTGTGAATATAATTTGCTTAACACCTGATCAAAAGAGAATTTATTTACAAATATTCAGAGACCAAAAACTTAGTGGTTTTTAAGTACCTATATTAGACTAAAAAAAAAATAATCCAAAAAGCATGATTTGATCTGTTTTTTCATGTAGACAGAAAAATGCTTAAAACTAAAAAAATTGTTTCCTTAAAAATGACCTAACGTTAGGCGCTAATATCGTGAACGTTGTTTACAGTTGTTAGAACCATATTATTATTATTTAGCATCATATGATTAGTTTTAGTTTCCATAGGACAACAATTACAGAAAACCCCAGTACATTATAAACCTTTTAACTAATAGAAAGAAGAAATTTAAAATAATCTCGTACTTCTTATTAATACTACAATCACAAACTACTTGAAATTAATTTAATAAAAATATTTTCACAAAAAAAAGGAACACCGCTATGCCATAACCACTATTTCAAATATATATCGCACCTTTAAAGCAAAAGTGACACTATACAAAAAATCTGTTTAAGGTCCGTTTTTTAAATTATTTTATGTTACCTTTCTGATTAACAAATAAAACAAGTTATAAAAGTAAATTTAAAAAACAGACCCGAAAAATGAAGAGTTCAATGATTTTGTCATGGATTCCACAATCAGACTACCCCTGAGGTAACCCCTTTCTAATAAGAATCATAGAAATCGGACAAAGTGATCATGGATTTCCACTCATTTTTTTTTGAACGGGTTAACTATAATAAATAGGTCCATTAATAACAAAATAATTGCTGTAGTATTTTAATAGTATACTTTGAAGGACAAAATAATATTAAAAGTTAAAAGTGTTTTCCTTTAACTCTTTAATTTTTGTAGTGTCACTTTTGTTATCAAGGTGCGATATTTATTATCTATTCACGATTCAAATTAATTTTCGCGCGCCTGTCATTTGTCACTTATAAGTAGGATGTTTATTTATTTACATATGTGTCTGTTTTGGGCGGATTTTGTATTTGTGATTTTTTAACTGTTTTTAGATAATATTCTCATTGTAATAGTGTTTTTGAGTTTCATTTAGTGTTAATTTAAGTTTATTTCTCGTGCTTTCGTCATAAATATAATATTTATCATGTGAATGACTTAATTTGTTGGCAATATTCACCTATTGGTTGCTACAAGAACATCTAGAAATATGTGGTATTTACTAAACCCAGGACATGTTTTATTATGTGGTTTAAAGGACATTTCAGATACCTAACATTTATTATTGATGAACTTATTTAAAAATCTTATTATCCTTATTCTTATATTAAGAAGTGAATTGTGTAGTACTTTGTATACATGTAAATGGTAATAAAACCATCACAAATCAGATTACAGTTTGATTCTAAACAAAGTTTTGCAAAATTTCAATATTGTAAATTTGTAGATATCCAGTTATCATAAGAAACAAAATTTTATGACTTGCACTTGGAAAATAATGAATACTTCAGTTTTAATTTTGACATTAACACCATATAGATTGCAATTTGCTGGGGACTTTTTCGCAGATTTCATTTTTAATATAAACACTATCACATACTATAAGAAATAAACAAATTTAAAGCCCAAAAGTAAGAAAAAACTCGAATTGTAATTGATACAAATTAAAATGTAAACAATGAACACGAACGCCAATTTTGCCAAATCATGAACTGATTTTAAAACAAAATTATTAAAAGAACTGAAATTTAAAAAAAAAATCAATATAATAAATCGGTTTTATAAAAAAATCCTTAAATAAATAATATAAAGTGTGATTACATATTACTACCCACAAATTTTGATTCTTAAATAAAAGGTCTTATCCACTTCTTCAAGAGCTAAAATCCGACGACATAGCGAAATTTTGCTACTTCTGACAACACTGAACCATATCCTACTTATAGGGACCTTCTACAAATTTCCTCCAGATGGCGCAACACTTAGCTTGAATTGCGAATAACTATCAATAATAAATAAAGAATAAATTGTTTAGTTTAAAAAAATAATTCTTATAACATTAATAGATCACTAAACCTCCACTGATAGCTGAGCTGTGTTCTTATTTTAATCGGATCCTAGCAACAATGATAATACGCCCCTTTACTTGCGCAATTAGTGTCCCCGTTATTGGACATACCTATTGCACATGAGTAGCTGTTACGTTAACGTTGACGATATTTGCACCTCACGCTATTAAAACATGCGAAAACTCTGTTGATTAAAAAAAAAACTTACCTTAATTTTATTAACGTAGTTAATAGCGTGATTGAATTCGACAGGTTGATTCTGAGGGGTATCGGTGTGCCCTTGTAGTGCATGAGTTACAGCAGCTTGGGCAGCTGATAAGGAAAGAGAACTGTAAGACAGCGGAGGAGCAGCAGCATTGCTGCCGTACGTAGGAGCATGATGAACTATAGCGGGTTGCGGCGGAGGTGGTTGTGTGGGTGGAGCTTGTGGAGCTACAGGAGGAATATGCTGCGTCAACGGTAACGGTTGTGCAGTTGGCGGACCTGGAGGAGGCTGCTGTCCTGAGACGTTGATAGTTCCCGAACCTTTGAAGATCATAGCAGATCGGTGTTCCTGAGGTCCCGAATTTATGGTACCAGTTGGACTAGGCATACTCACGGACACTTGAAAAGCATAACCTTGATCATTACGTTGCACTTCGATCTTGTAGCCAGGTGGCAGGAAGGTGTTGAAGCCGACTATTAGCTCAGGAAATCCTTTAAATAAATTTGAGACCCTTTGAATAACACCAGGAGTATCGATACTTTGGCTCTTGAATTCTTTCATAATATCTAAGAAGTCGTTGTACACTTGTGGTTTTGAACCAAATTTATATTTAACAAGATCCAAATATGATAATGCATCTTCGACTTTTAATCTTTGGAAATTGGTGCTGGGCGACTGCTGTTGCTGAGCAGTTTCTTGCAGTCCAGCACCCGATGGGGAACCACCTGCTGTCCGCAGCTGCGAGTGTCCGCCAACAGGGATAGACATCGTTGGCGGTTTAAGAGAGTGGGGAGTTGTGACAGCAGGCAGAGAGTGGCCATAGCTGACCGGCGGTGCGGGTGGATAGAGTCCTGATTGCATACCTTCACTCACTACTTTAACGTTACTCGCGGAACTATTTGTGGAATACGACAAAGATGCTGTAACTATGTTGGGCAGCGTTTGCCGATAGAGCGTACTGCCCTGTCCAATACCACTGCCTGCTAAAGGGGGTTCACTTACTTCCTTTACAGTCTCATCCACTCGCAGACGTTTCATTTCAAATTACATTTGAGCGGCTATAACAAGGAAAACAATCAGGTTAAAATGCTGAACAGGTTTTTGCAAAATAAAAAAAGCTGAGCACAAGAATATTTGAGGGCGTAATTATTGATTAAATCTGTGATATTAGCACCAATAAATGCGAATTTTTATAGAAAATAGTTGGAATTCGTTTTTCTACTTTAAAAAAACTTGACCAAATTAAAAATTTGTGCCAAATTTAACATCAGCACTTTTTGTTAATTTCAAAGTAGCATTTGATTATCCGTTTTTTTTTAACCAAAAGTTTGTTCATCCATCAAAATTGAGATATTACAAGAATAAAAAATAATGCACATGGTCCTTACAACCTTAATATAGTTTATTTGGATTAAAAAAAGCAATCGTTTGTCCACTCATTATTTTCCTTTGTTCAAACCTTGTTTTTGTTTGTCCACCCAAAAGAAATTAACAAAATAAATAGTCTAAAATATAATTACAATTACAAAATAGTTATTTTTATTTTATCCCAATAATTGAATATTCACTTGGGAAATAAAGGGTCAGCAGGTAGTTTTCTTTCTGTTACAGGTACATCTGGTGTAGTAAATTATAAATATTATATGTGTAAATATTATTTTATTAGTTTCTAACAAGTATAATATAGTAAATGAGGTTGACATGTGCTGGAAAGGATGTGGTATTGACGTCATTTACTGGTCGGTAGTCACTACTACCAGAGACAACAGAGACGTGTAACTTAATAGGAAAATATGTTCGGTGGTCCATTTAAATTACATATATGACCCTCTTTTTCTTTTACATTGATCTTTACATATGTCTATCTCTCTCCAATAAAACTAACACCATTTTCAGAGGGCGCTGGTGTTGCTGGTTTTTTGACGTAGAAATATCGATTAAAAGTATTAAAACTGACAACTGACAATGTTATGAATGTTGTTATGAACATGTGCATTATATTAAAATTAATTTAATTTGGGCCCCGTATATTTCTTTTAGTCTGATTTTGTTGTTTAATTAATTTTCTTTGGGGGGGAATGTTTATTTTTGCATATTACCTATTTTTTGCATGAAGCAATTTCTGGAACCAAACTCGCGTTTTTGTACACATTTCTTTCTAGAGGTAAGTAATTTCCAATTTATTAAGAAAACCACTGTATAATGTGTGTGTTTAATAATATATTACACAATGACTATAATTATTTTAGGTGAATTGGAACAGATCCATTGTTACAGCTACTTGTGTTCATTAAGTAGGTAGATGAATGTCTGGACAGCTTTAATGGCAGCACAAAGTTCCTATCTACTAGAAAAGTAAAATGTATGCTGAGTAAAAAATCTGCACATGTAGTATTGGCAAAGGACTTTTGAAATTATTAGAGATTAGCTATTTCTTACATACACCTACCTCTAACAGCCACTCTAAAGGAAGAAAAAAAAAATTGAATCACAAAAGGGCAGAATTTTAAATCAGGATGCATTGGAAAATAAATTTGTTGACATCAAGTCGGTTTTGGATTTTATAGAGAGATCAATCTCAAGAAAAGTTAATTTATCCTGCAGAACAACCAGTTGTTTAAGTAGGATTTGCTATAACTATTAGAAATTTTCTTTGATAATAAATTGTAATATAGGTACCAATTATTGTTTCAAATGAAATTGAAAAAGAGTTAAATATGAAATTAGATTTTTCATGAGTAAAATGTTATATTTATTTGAACATTGTAAGGTAATCTATAATTAAGGGAATATGGAAAATAGATATACCCTGCTGGTGTAAGAGAAAGGTAAGGGGCAATGACAAAAAAATTACAAAAATGTATTTATCTCTAAATAGTGTTTATTATTAATAATATTATTTGCTATGTTTGAAAAGTATCTCCTGCTTCTGAACAGATCAGACTACTACTTGGAGAAGGTCCACCTAGTAACCAAATTAGGAGACTAGGAAAACTTTTACATGACTGGGGACACAACAGGAATGCACATACACAAGATACACAAACAAACGAAATAACAGGGGTAAGCCTTCAGCAACGTCCTGTTTAAATGATGATAGTATGTCATCCTTCATTCCCTTTTAGAAGGCATGGCATATAAATATATTGATCTTGATTACTATAAGAGGAGTTAGCAGGTTTCGATCCAGTTTACAGGATGGGAACTTACTTGACTTGGGCCTTATACATTTGTGTTGAGTGTATGTGTGTTTCGTTTCCATGGTTTCTATTAAAATAAACAGTCATAACATATCCATAGCTTTTTGCCAGACTAACATAAGTGACATTTGTTCAAATGGCACTTATGATAGTCTCAAATGGCACTTATGATAGTCTGGCAAAAAGGTATCGATACTATACTTTATAAAATATTTGTTACATTAGTTTTTAAATATATTATGAATATATAACAACTGTTACTTTCTTTGTAATTTGTCACAAAATGATAGGAGGTACTTTCTAAACGAAGCAATTGTAGTTTGTTTTTCTGTACCTTACAAAAATATAATTTATAGAAAAAGAGTTTGGTGTATTATTTTTCAAAGTTTAAATATTTAATAATCAATAGAATTTTCAAGTTTTTTTTTTAGCGAAATTTACAAGAGTAATAAAAACTATGTTCACTGTTTATATTAAACTGATTAAAACTTCCTTTATTAAAATGATTATTTGTGATAAAAAATTTGATGTTATTGGAAGCTTCTATATTTTTTTAATATACAGTGAAACAATAGTTTTTGTTTCTCCTGTAAATTTGTATAGAAAAACTTTATTTCTGAATCCATGTTTGAATTTCCCGCCCTAAAGCATTTTTAATTTTCCCGCTATTTACTAGTGGCGCCATCATAGACTGGTTGTGGTTACAATCGCCCAAATAACTTTTACCGAACAAAAAAAATACATTGAGTTACACGTCTCGCTGGATTGTCTCTGCTACTACCGACCTATGATTTTAAGTGTTAGAATTGTTTATATTTTGGGATCTTCATTTGTTATTAATTTTTTTTTGGGTGGAAACCTAAAATCAGGATTGGAAAAACGAAAATAATGAATGAACAAATGATTGAAGACCTTTTTACAAAAACGAAACATGTCCAAAATTACCTTTTTTCAGAAAACACAAAAACGTACCAGTACTCTTAGACTTTGTAGAAACGATCTATAAATGACAGTAAATATATCGGTTTCTGTATTACTTTTATAAGGAATAAGTATATGTACCCCTTACCGTGACCTAGTGTATGTCTATTTTTTTTAATGCCTTGATGGGTCCCTAGGCGAGAAGCGAGTGTCCCCGTTTAATGCTCTTATTTGAAATTAAATATTTAATGTTTTCTCCTTTTCATTCATTATTTGTTTGTTAAATTATCTCTTCCATAGTCTATGCAAAAAAAACTATATGTGCCGGTAAATACAACAACTCGCCACAGATTGCACAGATAACTCAATTCAAGCAATTTTGGACGCTTGTTGGTTTTGAAAAAAAAAAAAAACAGTAATTAGTTAGAGTTGCGTAGCTTAGTAATTGTTTATATTGGGCTCTGTATTTTGTTAACTAATAACTAATTTCTTTTTAGGTGGACAAACATAAATAATGTGTGGACAAATGAAAATAATGTGTGGACAAATGAAAATAATGTGTGGACAAACGATTCTACTAGTTAATTATGACAAAATGCAATTATAAGTGATTATGTTAAGAATTGTTTATAATTTGGTTTCTTCTTCTTTGTTAATAAATAAATAAATTCTTTTTGGCGGACAAACGATTCCAGTTGTTAGTTTTAACAAAATTGAGTTGGAAGTGCTTAGGTTAATACTTATTTATATTTTAGGATCTTTATTTTGTTAATAAGAGGCATATTTTTGAATACTGTTTTTAAATATGGCCACTACAGCGCTACGGTCGCCGTTCCTCTCATGCGCAGTGCGTACCTACATCTTCTGGTTAGTCACAAACGTCAGTAAAGCTACCATTTCGCAAGCCGAGACAGAGACCGACTTCAAAACGCGTCGCCACACTAAACGGTCGCTTCATGTCTGAACCCATGTAATTATAAGAAACACATTTCGGTAGAGGCGACAGATGACATCAGATTTAGTATGGCAATATTTGCCGCTTCACTGGTGTCTCGGTCTCCTGTCGTGGGTCGCGCGTTCCCAAATGGTACCTTAAGCCTTTGTGATTACATTTTGTTTGTGGATATTTAAGTTGCCTCTAGGTGAACATGTGCGATGTCTCGGAGGTGGGAGCTGCTGTCTAACCTGTCAAATTCAAAATAATGTTTCACATCGACGGAGTTTTTCGTTTTTTGCTGGCAATGAAATAATTTGCTTTTAGACATAAATCCAACGATGTGAAACATTATTTTGAATTTGACAGGCAAGACGACAGCTTCCACCACCGGGTATAGTACATGTTCCCCAACTACAAATAGCAAGCAAAAAACACGACATGACATTTTTTGCAGTCAGATGAGGGACTATAACAATCTAAGATAAAAGGAGATTTAAATGTCCATTACATAAACAATATAAACCAGCATTTTTGTTTCCTTTCATTGAATATGTAAGTATTTATTATTTTGAATTTTCTTACACTGTAGATAAACAAATGATAAAAGGTTTAGGTATATTACATTTAAAAAAATATTGATAAGAAGCATCACTTGATAATCCATAATCAAACGTTAAATTTGTTTGGTGGTATACAGGGAAAATAAACATTTATTCTAAATAGTCAAAATACATTTAAATTCAAATAAAGATCAAAAAATGTTATTTGAAAATATTGATAGGAATTAAAAATTTTGCATACATGTTAAACATATTTTTATTGATTGTTTCAATGTTTATTTGATGAAAATCACTCATAATTATTACTAGGAAAAACCAAAATATGGTGTAGATGTTCACAAAACTAATTTTATTTAGACAAACATTAAACATGACACATTGTATTTTAAATCATAATGTCATGCTTAAGGTTTAATTCTTGCAAACCACCAAAATTAACA